CTTTGTGTATTATTATTATTATTATTATTATTATCATATTATTATTATTATCATTTTATTTCAATTATTAAACTGTTTTTATCTCAACCCACGAGTTTTTCTCACTTGTGCTTTTCCAATTCTCTTCCCCATCCCATCGGGTGGGGGGGAGTGAGCGAGCAGCTGGGTGGTGCTTAGTTGCCAACTGAGGTTAAACCATGACACTAGTCTAAATCTACCCCTCTTTAGTTTAAAGCCATTCCCCCTTGTCCTGTCGCAACAGGCCCTGCTAAAAAGTTTGCCGCCATCTTTTTTATAAGCCCCCTTTAAGTACTGATAGGCTGCAATAAGATCTGCAGATCAAGAACCTCATCTCGTCCTGTAGAGTTCTGCTCACCAGTATCATCTACTGCTTCTGCACTCAACTATTGTGACTATGTCCATCAAGCCCTAATACCTTGTTACATACACTCTTGTTTGAAGCCCCCCCACCAGGAGCACTGCCCGGGCAGTGAAATCCTGCACTGCTCCCCACCCCGCAATACTCACCAATCCCATCTGGAATGCATTCCAACAGGTTCTGTGACAGGAGCAAGTCCGTCAGTGCTACTAGCCCACTGACCTCGTTGGGCAACTGCTCCAGCTTGTTCTCTGACACATCCAGACAGACCAAGCGGCGGAGATTGCCCAGTTCCTAGGATCAGAAAGGAGACAGCTCGAGGGAGCAGCTGAGGAAGGGAGCAAAGTGGTGAATCAATGGCCCTGAACAGGTACTCACCGGAGGCAGGGCTGAGAGCTGGTTCCGGTCTAACCAAAGCTCACGCAGGTTGGGTAGCGCTCCCAGAGTATCTGGCTGTAACAGAGCAGGACAGGAATAGCATCAGTCCCTTCCACAGGGGAGAAGCTGCTCGAGGATGCTACAAATCACACCACACCTCTGCAAAGCTAGACATTGTTACTGCTTTTACACCTCCTAGAACCATTCACCAAATCATTTATGAAGCTAACATGTTGGTGTGCCACAACATAGCACCACATATGTTTGGAAATGTCTGGGATGGCATACTGGCTGCAGAAGGTCCCAACAGGAAACACGGAAGACAACAGCAAGGACTGTCTGGTAGCAGGCAAGACAAGAACTAAACAGGGTTTTGGAAATTCTGGCTTAATGGAAGAAATGAGTCTTTCTCCTCTTCCTCCTCTCAGACATGAAAACAAACATTTGGATAACACTGGCCAACTCAACATGATAGAGCAGCATCATCAGCAATGGTAGACATACATTCACAGCATCACTCCACAAATGCCATACACACTGATTAGCATTTGGGTTTGGAGTTAATGCACCACTGGAGTGCGGTTCAAGTGTCAGACAACTGTTCTCACAAGTAAGCTGCAGCCTTGTGCATAGCAAGCTGCACGAACTCCTTTGCCTCCCAATTTAGATAGGTTTCTGCCAAAAAGCATTCCAGAACAATAAGAGCAGGATTCAGTAACAGCTTAATCCATAGCTGCAAAATTAAAGAATATCATTGGATGTCCTTGAATGTCAAGACAAGCTGAATTTCAAGACTCTGCACTGGCTCTCAGTACGCTTATGCTCAGAGCCCTCCATGGAGGCACCCCAATCCAGTGGGCACACACCCCATGCTTGGCTGACTTCACTGCCAGGAACAACACGGAATAGTCCTGCACTTTGCAGTAGAGAAATCAAATCCGAAAAGAGAAAGGCAGAAAGTTGGCCTAGCAGAAGAGAAAAGCAACAACTGGGGGCAGTGCAACACAGAAGAGAAAGGAAGTACTAGAGAGTCTCATTGGAAAGAAAAGATCCTTAGGCAGCTAGATAGCAAGACTTAACATCCCAGAGCAAAAGTGATTGGAAAGAGCAGAGCAAGTTGTGCATGAGGACAGTAGGAAGCAAGACACAAGGGCCAACACATGAAGAGAACATTATGCTGGGAACAATGACTAGGTCATGGTGGGCAGATGAGAATCTTCCCAAACAACCTGCGGGTCTATTTCTTTGCATTTCAGATGAAAAACCACTTGCTTCCACATGGGTACAGGGTTCTGCCCCTACCAACCACCCATATTCCCTCCCCACCATCCCTCACCTACCAGTACTTCCAGATCATTGCCACCAAGATCCAACTGTTCTAACTTGACAAGGAAGGAGAGTGAACTGCAAGATACAGGGAGTAGAGAGGGGAAGAGAGGGGAAAAAAAAAAAAAAGAAAGAAAGAAAGAACAGAAGGTTAGCATCTGGGACACACATCTCACAAATTACGTAATTTTTAATAACTCCTAAAACAGGTGGGGCAATCCTGACCTTTTTCATAGTCCCTCTAAGCCAAGCAGTTTAGGGGAGTTGGTACCCTTCCCCAAGCCAGACCATCTGCACCAGGGAATTGGGTTCAGTAGCACCAGCAGTCCCAAAGCAGCCAGTTTCCACTCTGTCACCAATTTGCCTTCTCCCCCTCCCACCATAAAATACTCTTTGACCAAAAACATGACAGATGACAAGCCACACCTTAATATTGCTGCCCATTTCTGCAGCAAGGATAGGGACCTGGGCACAGACTAACAGATAACAGGAGAGAGTCAGCAGAGGACAATACATATTTGGGGGGCAAGGGG